CGAACGGGGCCTGTAAGCCCTAAGTCTTAGGCTTTTAGGCTGAATGTCCGGGACGGGCCCTGCAGGGCCCGTGTGGCTACGCAGTATGCCACAGTGGGACTCCAAGACAATATTCAGCAGGTAGGCAATGTGGTAGTGGTGGGGGAAGAAGAGGAAACCCTTCTCTCGCTTTACTCGGTGGGACAGAATAATATTCTACAAATCTCACAACCACAAGAGACTAAATGGTTCCAAAAAAAACAACTATTCAGAATAAGAGTCCTAAAGGAAAAAGAGCAATGGTTGGCCTTTAAACCATCCACCTCGATAGACAAATTAGCTTTGGATCCAGCTATGTGGACATGGACTGGGCATGGAAGGAAAGGTCAAACACGGCCACGCTACCTTCACTCCTTAACAGTAATATCCACGTATAGGCTGCTCAGACCAAATGTCAATCTAAGAGATAGAGTGGAATCCCGGTGGATGAAGCAACTTAATGTGAGTAAAGAATCTCTGCGTGACGTAAAGTGGTTCAAGAATATCAAAGTCAAACCAGCTAATATAGCATCACTACAATGGCAGATAGATCACTGCTGCCTACCAACAAATGACTGGCTAATTGACAGGACCTCCTTGGAAAAAAGAGGTTTGGTTCTGCCATGGTGCGGTCTTTGCTCGTCAGCATTTCCTTCCCGACTCATCCCTGAAACTATACAACATATCTTCTTACAATGTCCAGGGGCAGTTTGGCTATGGAGATGGTGGGACAGGATTTGGAACCAACTTCCCACCACCCAACCATGGCCGTGGGAATGGAAAACCCTCCTTTGGGAAACATGGAACCCGTCCCAGTCAGACGAGTTCACTATCAATCTTTATAAGGTAGGAAGGAGGGCAATCATGTGGGCTCTTTGGAACCGGCGCTGCACATATGAATCGGAAAAGGCTAGGATTGACGGGCCAGAATTTACGGACTCGATAAAGCATCAAATCCAAACAGAAATCAATGCTCAACGGGACAAGGTAAAGGAAAAAATCAAGTACTTACTAACCAAGGCAGAAATTCAAAAGCATATTCAACAATTCTGTGACAACTGGCTCGGGGGCACCCAAGGGAGGCATCTGGGAAATGTCATATGGAGGGGGGCACACAAAGAGGATATGTCGGAAGGAGGGCAGGAAGGATTTTCAAGGGATTATCGTTTGGTCTATCAAGACTGGACAACTGTTGACCCAACCATCCCTCTCGGACCTCTCTCAGACTTCCCTGACCCTTTTCCACCATCAGCCTTGAGTTTGGTTCCTATGAGTTGGTTTGGAGTGGTATAAAATAAGGTTGGCAGTGCTAAGTTGACATGTATATCTGGCGCCCGTTCAGGGTGAAGAGGCACAGGAGCCAATATGATCAGAAGCGACGCTGGGCCCGGTTCCCAGCAAAAATTGTATCTTGTCTTTTTCAGATGATGTAAAGGGACGCTGGACCCGTTTTCCAGCAGGTGCAGCTCCCCACCAATGGAACGGAGCCATCTATCAAGCAGGGAGAGTAGAGGGGGTGTCTGCTCTTATCAACACCTCCTCTACTCCCCGTCAATGATGTTTAAAAAAAAAAAA